AGAGTTTGTTGGTGGTAGGATGGAGGAAGAGGTAGTCTGGCGAGTCCAAGTTGTGCCCGAGGTACACGCACGTGATTGTTTTCGGAGCAAGCTTGCCGCCAGCTGCACGACGGGCTTGGGAGTTGAGGAGGACATAGGAAGTGCACCCCCATACACGAAGAGGGCGGACGGACGGCTTTTGACCCGTCCACAGCTCTGCGGGGGTGGTGTGGGTGTGGTGAGGATGAGGATGGAGATTGTGGAGGGCGGCAGCATGGAGCATGGCGTATCCCCAAAGAGAGGGAGGGGCGGAAGCATGAGTGAGGAGGCAGCGAGCAATCTGCACCAGGATGCGGTTTCGGCTTTCAGCAACACCGTTCTGTTGAGGGCTGTCTGGGAGAGTGAAGGTCTATTGGATACCCTCAGTAGAGCAGAAAGCTTTGAGAGTGTTGTTGCGGAATTCACCGCCACCGTCAGAGTGAAGAAACTTGATTTTGGTTTTGAAGTGTAAATGAGCCTGCCTGGCCCATTCCATGATGATGGCTGGGGCTTCAGACTTGGCGGTGAGAAGGTGAACAGACACATAGCGGGAATAGTCATCAACGATGACAAGGAAGTAGAAGTGTCCGCCACGGGAACGAACAGGAGCTGGACCCCAAAGGTCCATGTGTACGCGATCGAGAGGTGCGGTAGAGATGGACTCAGTGGGAGGATGGGACTGTTCCCGACGCTTGCTCTGTGCACAGTCAAGGCAAGGCGGTCCAGAAAGAGAGGGGGGTTGTGGAAGTGAGGCGGGCAGTCCATGAAGGAGTTGCTTGGTGGCAAGGTCTGAAAGTGCGCGGAAGTTGATGTGGCCGAGGCGGTTATGAAATAGCATAGTCTTGTCAGTGAGGAGGCGGCAGTGACATGAGGGGGAGTCTGAGGATGGAAGCGGAAGGTTGGTGAGGGAGCATGTTTGAACGGGAGGTACAACTAGTGTGTACAGGTTGTTGGAGTTGAGGGTGAAGCGGGCAAGATGGAGTCCGGTTTTGGCGTCAAACATGTCACAGTAGTCAACATCATTTGGAAAGATGGTGATCACGCCTGCGTGTTGGATTTCCCGCTGTGCAAGAAGGTTGTAGCGGAGGGTTGGGGCACAGATGCCAGTGACTGTGCCAGATGGGAATGCTGGACAGGAAACTGTGGAGGAGCCATGGCATTGGATGGAGAAGCTAGAATCTGCTCCAAGGAGTGAGGTGGGAGCCTGGTAGGGAACGAAGGCGGTTTGGTCTTTGAGCACTGTGTGGGTGGCACCACTGTCTAGTATGAACTCGATTCCCTGTGTGGTTGAAACACCGATGTACTGCGACCCCTTCTCATTAATAAGACCAGCACCAGAGAACAACAGGTTAAGGCGAACATCAGATGGGGCGCTAGCAAATGCCTGAGCAGGTTCCTCCACTGCCTCGACCTGGTTCACGCGACGGGGTGGTGCCCAGTTGGGAGGGCGCTTGTCCTTGGAGACACCATGGACGTCATACCACTCGTCATCTCGCTTCTTGAAGCAAGTGGCCTCAGGGTGGTTGGTGCCGTTGCATTTCTGCCCCGCACGCGGACCCTTCCTAATGAGGTACTGGCATGGGGGAAAGGAGTTGCGCCTCTGGCCCTGCTGGGAACGAAATGGAATGCCAGGGGAGTAGCGCACAGCATTGACTGATGCCTGGGCTGCAAGGTCCTTTTCCGCAGAGAGAAGGGCCGAAGCGACTTTCTCGAAGGTGAGTTCCTTGGTGGGGAGCTGCTTGAGCATGGAACTGGTGACGTTGTAGGCCGGGGTGAGTCCGACGAGAAGCCCAGCAGCAGGTGCCTGTTTGGGGAAGGTGATCCCAATGTCCTTGAGCTCCTCATGGATGTTGCGGATTTCAGAGATGTAGTCTGCCATGCCCGGGCATTCCTCAAGGCGGATTTGGAACATGCGAGGAATGAGGATTGCAACTCCCACGGCAGTTTTGTCATGAAAACGATCCTGGAGGTACTTCCAAATATCATGCGCAGAGCGGAAGGTGCGGTAGGACTTGACTAACTCAACTGGCGTGGTGGTGATGATGACCCTAATCACTGCCGCATTTGCCTGCTCCCAGAGACTGAAGTCCGTCTCATACTTGGTGGTCTTAGCATCGAAAGCGCTCTTGGCTGTGGCAGTGGCGCCTTCGCCGAGAGGATCGGGAGGGAGAGGCATCTTCCCCTTGCCGCGGTTGAGGAGGATGTCCTTGAGGCAAATCCCCTTGAGCTCCGAGCTAAGGAGGTGCTTCTCCACTCCATAGCACCACTCCCCGAAAGTGGTGCTCGTGCCATTGGGAGCGAGGTTAAGGATGATGAGGTTTCCGACGAGAGTGGAAGTAGAAGTTGCCATTTCGCGCGGAGCGCAGCGCTAAAGTCTCCGATACGTAGCGGAGCGAAGCGATTTTGGAAATTGAGGAAGTCCGAAACGCGATTTTGGCAATAGAATGCCCGTAATATACCCTGTTATACTGCTTCGCCGATGCCCCCTGTTCTGCTTCGCTGATGCCCCTGTTCCGCTTCTCTGCTGCGCCGCTGACCTGTTCTGCTGCGCCGCTGACCTGTTCTGCTGCGCCGCTGAACCTGTTCTGCTGCGCCGCTGAACCTGTTCTGCTGCGCCGCTGAACCTGTTCCGCTGCGCCGCTGAACCTGTTCTGCTGCGCCGCTGAACCTGTTCCGCTGCGCCGCTGGACCTGTTCCGCTGCGCCGCTGGACCTGTTCCGCTGCGCCGCTGGACCTGTTCCGCTGCGCCGCTGAAAACCTGTTCGAAGTTAAGAAGATGCGAAAATTTTCCCGGAGATTTTAAAAACCAGATGCTTACGATGAAGGAAGTCGAAAGCTGAAAATGTCGCCGTTGAAAAACGAGAAGCGCGATGACGGAAGCCGAATGCGCGCTTGACCGGAGCGACGATGTGAAGTTTCTGAAAAACGCTAAGCGTAGGAGCCGGGAGCCGAAATAGGCATAGCCTAGAAGGAGAGAACCATCGGGACGCCAAGGATCGGATTCCGCGTGAGCGGAATTTACTAGCTCGATACCATGATAGAATTGGAGCAGAACTGATTGATTGATTGATAAGGAAGGCACGAGGCCTTAAGTACAAACACGGTTGGGTTGAGCAAAGCTAGGGAAAGGATGGGATGGGAATCCTAGCAAATCTCCAATTGGTGAGTTGGCAGATTTGCAGGATTACGAGGGAATCCCAACCAGATAGGGTTGGGATTACAAATCTACACCGAACCTACAAAGTAACCTAACCGATATAGAATATAGTACAAAGTGTTGACTGACTATTTCTAACACAAGTATGCTCCAAAGCGCATACTGTTTCGTGGAAGCATGAGAGCCCGAGTTGGGCTAACTGTATTGCATTGGAACCAAGGTTTGGAAAGGGAAGTGCGGGCAACCAAGATCAGGATACGCCGTGCTACTCGGGTCCGGCGAGGCAAACGCTCCAGGATCTTAGGCCCGATGGATTGGAGCTGGGTCGATGACATCATGAGAGACTGGGATTGTATGTCGTCGGACGTTGCAGAGGAGGGGGGACCTAGGGATACCGCCGTCACTGCTCCATCCACGCCGGAACCACCCACCAAGCGACAGCGTACCAGCAATGAAGGAACCACGGCATATCGACGTACCCTGTTTGGTGAGTTTGTATACCGTGTTCTTTGTGTGACCCTCTGTGCCCTGCACACATGTTGTTTAATTTTATTGGTCCTGGTAGAAAGTTACAGACTAATGGTTACTCTCCAATTCCAATTCATTCTCCATGCAGGAGACGTCTCAAACGTTCGATAGGGACATCCCTTATGGCAGCCATGAAGTTGAGGTGAGGGCAGGGGGAAGGTGTGGGGCGGTGGAAGTTGCGGGGAAGGGGAAGGTGGTGTGGGGAGGGGGAGGTGAGGGGAGGGGGTAGGTAAGGATACTTTGAAACTCAGATCTAAACGGATCTGATGCACATTCTCCACACCATATCGTCCTTACCACATCACCATTTGCCTCTGCACAAACTCAGAGCTGAACGCGCCCCACAGAGTTGAACCGTCCCGTTGGTGAGGGGCAGGGGGAAGGCAGAGATGGATAGGGGGAGAGGGTGAGGGGCAGGGGGAGGGCAGAGATGGATTGGGGGAGTGGGTGTGGGGCAGGAGGAATGCAGAGATGGATAGGGGGAGTGGGTGAGGGGCAGGGGGGAGGCAGAGACAACAAGGGCAACCAGAGGAGGTAAGGGAGAGCAAGTGAATAGCAAAGAAGAGACAGAGGTTGCAGAAACGTATACAAAGAGCAGGAAGAAGAGGGGAGGAACGTAACGACCCATCGTAACGAAGAAGGGGGGAGAACTCACATCGTAACGACCGGAACTGCCTTTAGGGTGGGTGAACTAGCCCCATCACTTTCCTCTCTCCACCGCTCCTGCATTCTCTTCTCTCCCCTGAACGTGCCCCTACACATCTCCCTCCGCACCTCTTCATCCCCTTCCCCATTCTCTGCTGCCCTCTCTTGTTCCCACCCCTCGTATGCAGAGCTGAACGTGCCTCTACACATCTCCCTCACGGCCACCAAGGATGCATCGGCCTCGTCGATGGGTGAAGCAAAGAAGCTAGCATCATCAGGAACCGCGTCAGCCGCCGCATCAGCAACAGCATCAGCAGCAGTAGCAGTCACCATCAGCAATGCCAGTGGCAGTGTCAGCGGCAGCAGCAGCGACAGTGGCAGCAGCACCAGGCTTGGGTCTGGCATCCCAGCTCTGCCCTCCTCACCTCTCATGCTCCCCCCACTCTCCTCCCCCGCCCACCTTCTTTCCGCACCCCCACCATCCTCCCCACCGCACGTCACACACGCATTCACCTGCCGCCCCCACCCGAAGGTGCCGTGGTGCCAGTGTCACAGCAGCCTCTCTCTGCCCCTTCCCTGCCTGGTAGCCTCACTCCAGCCCCCACCGTCTGCCCTCCTGACCAAGCCTCTGCTCTGGCCCACACGGACCTGAATGTTGTGCCAGGACAATGAGAAAGGGGTGAATGGAGAGACGAGAGAGGAGGACAACGGAGCAGAGGAGAAGAGGGCGGAGGAGGAAAGGAGAAAGACAGAGGGGCGGAAAGTGGTGCGGATGCTGCAGGGGAGGAGGTGGACATGGAAGGACTTTTGGGAGAAGATTGATGATGAGGTGAGTGAGTGTGGAAGTAGCTGCTGTCTGCTCGTGGTTTCTGCTTCTGCACATAACTTGGGTCTGCATCCCATGTGTGCGTCTGCCCATCTCCTATCCTTGCTCACAACATCCTCTCCGACATCAGTCTGCCCTTCTCTATTCACTCCCACCCTTCCACCCCGGCCTGTGTCCCTGCCTGCCCATCAGATCGACTCTCTCTTGCTTCCCCGCCTCTGCCCACCTCTCAACTGCCACTCCCCACTAAAGGCCCCTCCGCCTCTGCACTTCCCCCCACCCTTTCAGCCTCCTTCTACCATGCCTCGTCCTCTCACACCTCTGAACAACGCCTCCTTCCAACGCCCTTCCTTCGTTTCCTCATCCCCCTGCGGCACTCGTCCCCAACCCCATTGCCACCCCACTGCAATTGCTGCATGTCCCTCTCTGGCTGCACGCAACGTGAACCTCTTGCACTCCGCACACACTTCCGCCCCTACAGACCCTCACACACTGACACCCACCACACACTCCGGCACCCACCACTGCTGGAGATAACAGGTGCGATGCTGCTACACATGCCAAGCACTAAACCCGCGAACGCGGTGCGGCTGCTATTTTACTAATAGTGGCGGCAAATGGAGCAACTCGCGCCCCCATGGCAAGAATCGAAGAAGTGGAACAAGAAATGATAGCCAAGTGCCAGACCTGACTACACAGATAGGGCTAATTCCTTGATCTTATTATCATTTCGGCCAACAAGAGAGCGAAGGGAGGAAATCATATTACCATTACGGCAAGTCGTCACTGATAAACCATACTCTCTAGCAAACAGTCAGTAAATCGCAGACTCCTGCGTCTCCTGCTTGACAATTGTCCTATATCTACCCTCGAATGACCCATTCTAGGTTGAACCAATCTACATCACTTTGACTGCAGTGTCTGTAACCCTCGCCCGTTGGCTCAGGGTAAAGCGATCCTATCACAACGTGGATTAGCCATGGCAAAGTCACATGTGCAAACGGCTTATCACCTAGCAAGGCAGAGTACTGAATGTAGCAACGAAAACGATGGTTCTTAGCGGTCATAGGGAGACCTTCAGAGTCCTCATCCGTGTTTTTTCCCAAGCACACTCTCAATATGCTCGCCACACTACATCTCTGACCACACGAGCTCCCCCCCTCCGACAATCCGAGCCATTGGCGAGCCCATTTGTGAAGAACATGATACTGCTTGGCATGAAGCTCCTGAAACTGAGGAATGGACCAACTATCTTTTGCATATTGAACCTGTGGGGGCAATCCGGTTGGTCGCACAACTCTTCGCGCACGAACCCTTGGAGTGGGATGCGTTGTGCTCGCGGCAACCGAACGAGTATGGGCTGAAATAGCACCCGTACTTGCCGTGGCCATCGACCCCTGCACACGTCGTCGACCTCTATCCTGCTCATCATCCTCGGAACCCTCCTCCCCAACCCTGAATCCAAGCGTCAGCCTTTGCCGAGGAGTACGTCGCCATGATGACATGGCTGATGAGGTGTATTGTAAAGGGTATGGAAATATCAAGCAGAACAACAAGAAGAGAGAGGGTGAGGTTAGGCAGTGAAAGGGACGGGGTGGGAGGGTAAGGCTGGGTCTGATTTGAGTTGGCTATGAAGGGGAGTGTGGTAATGAACGACAGCAAGGGCAACCGGCCGAGGTAAGGGGCGGCACGAGGAGAGCAAAGAACCCACGGAGGGACGAAAATGTAGATAAAGGGCAGGAAGGAGAAGGAAGGAGACCATAAAGAGGTGCAGTGGGTGGATAGAGGTGCAGTAAGGGAAAGGATGAGCAGAGGGGGGAAAAAATTGCAGAGGGGGACAAGAGGAGCATAGGGGGAAAAGAGGAGCAGAGAGGGAAAGAGGCGAAGAGGGGGAAAAGAGGAGCAGAGAGGGAAAGAGGAGCAGAGGGGGGAAAGAGGAGCAGAGAGGGAAAGAGGAGCATAGGGGCAAAAGAGGAGCAGAGTGGGAAAGAGGAGCATAGGGGCAAAAGAGGAGCAGAGAGGGAAAGAGGAGCAGAGGGGGTAAAGAGGAGCAGAGAGGGAAAGAGGAGCATAGGGGCAAAAGAGGAGCAGAGAGGGAAAGAGGAGCAGAGGGGGAAAGTGGAGTAGGGGGGAAAGAGGAGCAGTGAGGGAAAAGAGGAGAAGAGGGTGAGAAGAGAAGCAGAGGGGAAAAAAGAGCAGAGGTGGGAAAGTTGAGAAGATGGGATAAGAGGAGCAGAGGGGGGAATTAGGGCAAGCAGGCGGTGAAATGGTGGGAAACAGGGGGGGAGCTGAGAGAGGAGGAGAGGGGGTGGCGGGAGGAGGAGAAGGCATGGTGGAAGGAGGAGAAGGCATGGCGGGAGGAGGAGAAGGCATGGCGGGAGGAGGAGAAGGCATGGCGAGGGGAGGAGAGGGGGTGGCGGGAGGAGGAGAAGGCATGGCGGGAGGAGGTGAAGACATGGTGGGAGGAGGAGAGGGGGTGGCGGGAGGAGAAGGAGGCATGGTGGGAGGAGGAGAGGGGGTGGCGGGAGGAGGAGAAGGCATGGCAGGAGGAGGAGAAGGCGTGGTGAGAGGAGGAGAGGGGGTGGCGGGAGGAGGAGAGGGGGTGGCGGGAGGAGGAGAAGGCATGGCGGGAGGAGGAGAAGGCATGGTGGGAGAAGGAGAAGGCATGGCGGGAGGAGGTGAAGACATGGTGGGAGGAGGAGAGGGGGTGGCGGGAGGAGAAGGCATGGTGGGAAGAGGAGAAGGCAGAGCGGGAGGAGGAGAGGGCATGGCGTGAGGAGGAGAAGGCATGGTGGGAGGAGGAGAAGGCATGGTGGGAGGAGGAGAAGGCATGGTGGGAGGAGGAGAAGGCATGGTGGGAGGAGGAGAAGGCATGGTGGGAGGAGGAGAGGGGGTGGCGGGAGGAGAAGGAGGCATGGTGGGAGGAGGAGAGGGGGTGGCGGGAGGAGGAGAAGGCATGGCAGGAGGAGAACGCGTGGTGAGAGGAGGAGAGGGGGTGGCGGGAGGAGGAGAGGGGGTGGCGGGAGGAGGAGAAGGCATGGCGGGAGGAGGAGAAGGCATGGTGGGAGGAGGAGAAGGCATGGCGGGAGGAGGTGAAGACATGGTGGGAGGAGGAGAGGGGGTGGCGGGAGGAGGAGAGGGGGTGGCGGGAGGAGGAGAGGGGGTGGCGGGAGGAGGAGAGGGCATGGCGGGAGGAGGAGAAGGCATGGCGGGAGGAGAAGGCATGGTGGGAGGAGGGGAAGGCGTGGTGGGATGATGGGAGGGCGTGGTGGGATGATGGGAGGGCGTGGTGGGATGATGGGAGGGCGTGGTGGGATGATGGGAGGGCGTGGTGGGATGATGGGAGGGCGTGGTGGGATGATGGGAGGGCGTGGTGGGATGATGGGAGGGCGTGGTGGGATGATGGGAGGGCGTGGTGGGATGATGGGAGGGCGTGGTGGGATGATGGGAGGGCGTGGTGGGATGATGGGAGGGCGTGGTGGGATGATGGGAGGGCGTGGTGGGATGATGGGAGGGCGTGGTGGGATGATGGGAGGGCGTGGTGGGATGATGGGAGGGCGTGGTGGGATGATGGGAGGGCGTGGTGGGATGATGGGAGGGCGTGGTGGGATGATGGGAGGGCGTGGTGGGATGATGGGAGGGCGTGGTGGGATGATGGGAGGGCGTGGTGGGATGATGGGAGGGCGTGGTGGGATGATGGGAGGGCGTGGTGGGATGATTGGGAGGGCGTGGTGGGATGATGGGAGGGCGTGGTGGGATGATGGGAGGGCGTGGTGGGATGATGGGAGGGCGTGGTGGGATGATGGGAGGGCGTGGTGGGATGATGGGAGGGCGTGGTGGGATGATGGGAGGGCGTGGTGGGATGATGGGAGGGCGTGGTGGGATGATGGGAGGGCGTGGTGGGATGATGGGAGGGCGTGGTGGGATGATGGGAGGGCGTGGTGGGATGATGGGAGGGCGTGGTGGGATGATGGGGAGGGCGTGGTGGGATGATGGGAGGGCGTGGTGGGATGATGGGAGGGCGTGGTGGGATGATGGGAGGGCGTGGTGGGATGATGGGAGGGCGTGGTGGGATATGGGAAGGGCGTGGTGGGGATGATGGGAGGGCGTGGTGGGATGATGGGAGGGGCGTGGTGGGATGATGGGAGGGGCGTGGTGGGATGATGGGAGGGGCGTGGTGGGATGATGGGAGGGCGTGGTGGGATGATGGGAGGGCGTGGTGGGATGATGGGAGGGCGTGGTGGGATGATGGGAGGGGCGTGGTGGGATGATGGGAGGGCGTGGTGGGATGATGGGAGGGCGTGGTGGGATGATGGGAGGGCGTGGTGGGATGATGGGAGGGGCGTGGTGGGATGATGGGAGGGATGATGGGAGGGTGGTGGGATGATGGGAGGGCGTGGTGGGATGATGGGAGGGCGTGGTGGGATGATGGGAGGGCGTGGTGGGATGATGGGAGGGCGTGGTGGGATGATGGGAGGGCGTGGTGGGATGATGGGAGGGCGTGGTGGGATGATGGGAGGGCGTGGTGGGATGATGGGAGGGCGTGGTGGGATGATGGGAGGGCGTGGTGGGATGATGGGAGGGCGTGGTGGGATGATGGGAGGGCGTGGTGGGATGATGGGAGGGCGTGGTGGGATGATGGGAGGGCGTGGTGGGATGATGGGAGGGCGTGGTGGGATGATGGGAGGGCGTGGTGGGATGATGGGAGGGCGTGGTGGGATGATGGGAGGGCGTGGTGGGATGATGGGAGGGCGTGGTGGGATGATGGGAGGGCGTGGTGGGATGATGGGAGGGCGTGGTGGGATGATGGGAGGGCGTGGTGGGATGATGGGAGGGCGTGGTGGGATGATGGGAGGGCGTGGTGGGATGATGGGAGGGCGTGGTGGGATGATGGGAGGGCGTGGTGGGATGATGGGAGGGCGTGGTGGATGATGGGAGGGCGTGGTGGGATGATGGGAGGGCGTGGTGGGATGATGGGAGGGCGTGGTGGGATGATGGGAGGGCGTGGTGGGATGATGGGAGGGCGTGGTGGGATGATGGGAGGGCGTGGTGGGATGATGGGAGGGCGTGGTGGGATGATGGGAGGGCGTGGTGGGATGATGGGAGGGCGTGGTGGGATGATGGGAGGGCGTGGTGGGATGATGGGAGGGCGTGGTGGGATGATGGGAGGGCGTGGTGGGATGATGGGAGGGCGTGGTGGATGATGGGAGGGCGTGGTGGGATGATGGGAGGGCGTGGTGGGATGATGGGAGGGCGTGGTGGGATGATGGGAGGGCGTGGTGGGATGATGGGAGGGCGTGGTGGGATGATGGGAGGGCGTGGTGGGATGATGGGAGGGCGTGGTGGGATGATGGGAGGGCGTGGTGGGATGATGGGAGGGCGTGGTGGGATGATGGGAGGGCGTGGTGGGATGATGGGAGGGCGTGGTGGGATGATGGGAGGGCGTGGTGGGATGATGGGAGGGCGTGGTGGGATGATGGGAGGGCGTGGTGGGATGATGGGAGGGCGTGGTGGGATGATGGGAGGGCGTGGTGGGATGATGGGAGGGCGTGGTGGGATGATGGGAGGGCGTGGTGGGATGATGGGAGGGCGTGGTGGGATGATGGGAGGGCGTGGTGGGATGATGGGAGGGCGTGGTGGGATGATGGGAGGGCGTGGTGGGATGATGGGAGGGCGTGGTGGGATGATGGGAGGGCGTGGTGGGATGATGGGAGGGCGTGGTGGGATGATGGGAGGGCGTGGTGGGATGATGGGAGGGCGTGGTGGGATGATGGGAGGGCGTGGTGGGATGATGGGAGGGCGTGGTGGGATGATGGGAGGGCGTGGTGGGATGATGGGAGGGCGTGGTGGGATGATGGGAGGGCGTGGTGGGATGATGGGAGGGCGTGGTGGGATGATGGGAGGGCGTGGTGGGATGATGGGAGGGCGTGGTGGGATGATGGGAGGGCGTGGGGATGATGGGAGGGCGTGGTGGGATGATGGGAGGGCGTGGTGGGATGATGGGAGGGCGTGGTGGGATGATGGGAGGGCGTGGTGGGATGATGGGAGGGCGTGGTGGGATGATGGGAGGGCGTGGTGGGATGATGGGAGGGCGTGGTGGGATGATGGGAGGGCGTGGTGGGATGATGGGAGGGCGTGGTGGGATGATGGGAGGGCACGGCCGGAGGAGGAGAAGGCATGGCAGGAGGAGAAGAAGGGACAGGTTGGTACGGAGAGGGAAGGGAAGGGTTGGCAAATGAGGGCAAGCAGGGGAGAATTGAGGGCAAGAAGGGGGGGAAATGCGATCGTGCAAGGGGGAAAATCAGGCGTACAAGGCGGATAATGAGGGCGTGCAAGGTGGGAAACGAGGGCAAGCAGGGAGGGTAAACGAGGGCGTAAATGTGGGGAAGTGAGGGCGTTCAGGGGGGGGTTTTGAGGGCGTGCAGCGGGGATGCGGAAGCACAGCCGGTGCAAGAGAGTGAGAGAGAGCGGCGGGCCTTATTCGAGTGCAGCTCGCGAGAGGAGGCCGCCGCGAAACGCGGAGAGGCAGCGAGGGGAGGCAGTGTGAAGCGGACGACGCAGGCTAGATGCGCATGCGCGGGAAGGCGAGAGGAGGCCGCGCGGGGAGGCGAGAGCCGCACGCGCGGGGAGGCGAGAGGAGCTGGCGCGGGGAGGCGAGAGGAGCAGGCGCGGGGAGGCGAGAGGAGCAGGCGCGGGGAGGCGAGAGGAGCAGGCGCGGGGAGGCGAGAGGAGAACGCGCGGGGAGGCGAGAGGAGAACGCGCGGCAAGGCGGGAGGAGGCCGCGCGGGGAGTAGAGAGTCGAGCGCGCGGGGAGGTGTGAGGAGGCCGCGCGGGGAAAGCGAGAGGAGAGCGCGGGGATGCGAGAGCCGCACGCGCGGGGAGGCGAGAGGAGCTGGCGCGGGGAGGCGAGAGGAGCAGGCGCGGGGAGGCGAGAGGAGCAGGCGCGGGGAGGCGAGAGGAGCAGGCGCGGGGAGGCGAGAGGAGAACGCGCGGGGAGGCGAGAGGAGAACGCGCGGCAAGGCGGGAGGAGGCCGCGCGGGGAGTAGAGAGTCGAGCGCGCGGGGAGGTGTGAGGAGGCCGCGCGGGGAAAGCGAGAGGAGAGCGCGGGGATGCGAGAGCCGCACGCGCGGGGAGGCGAAAGGAGAATTAGAACCGGGAGGCGATAAGACACATTGTGGGCAAGGAGAGGTTGCGGAAAGGGGTGTTCGGGCGGTAATGAGGTTGCGGAAAGGGGATTTCAGTGCTCTGGAATGAGGGCGTGCAGGGGGGGAAACGAACGAGGCAGCGTCACTCCGGACGTCGTCCGGCGAAAGGCGAAGACGGATGGCGGCCCTGAAAGGGAGGGCACGCGAGCGGCGAGCGGGGTGCTAAACGTGATGGCAGATGCAAGCGCGTCGACGCGAGGCGGGTCTCTGTGGGGAGCGGAGGCGCTGGCGCTAATGGCCTCGCGGTGAGGCAGCGAGAGGAGGCGTGGGGCGGCCTTGTCTAAGGTGGCGTGGCCTAAGCGAGTGCGCCCGAATGGGCAATTTGTCCGCGCATGCGATTGAGCAGCGTTACGCGGTTCAATGAAGTATTCTGTCCCTAAATCCAGCGGTTAGGTTAGAACTTTCTCATTAGTCTAGGGGAATAAACTACCGAAGTGGGAGTGTGTGGGCTATCCGAGGGAATGACGGACCGCCCTGGTTTCAGGTTTCCGATTCCTTTGGGCAGTGGTTTTGACACCGTCTCGCTTCGCGCTCGCGTCCGATACCTTCGGTCAGTTATTTACGCTATTGCCCCTCTTAGAGTCCAGAGACTAATATTGTGTTGTATTTATTGGGATATCATAAATTGAATTGTCGCGTCAATTACGAGAAGCTCGGGACAAAAAATATATACCCCTCATGGAGGGCATGCCATTTGGGAGGCTCAACCCTAAACACCATGAGGCAAGGTGTTTAGGGTTGATGCCTCCCAAATGGCCAGCCATCCGAGAGGGGTATATTTTTTCCACTGGCCACTAAACTAAAACCAGGTAAATTGGAAATGTCGAAATCAGCTGCCCCAAGGAATCGGATGCGAGCGGAGAAGCGAGGCGGTGTCAAAGCCACTGCCCAAAGGAATCCGAAACTTGAAAACAGGGCGATCCGTCATTTCCTCGGGCTATCCACTCACTAGTGCAGTTTCAGTTTCCTTTTGCAATCCCTTAGGTTTTGAGCTGTGAGTGCGGGGAGCCTCACGTGGGGCGTTTGGGGACTCGCTTCGCCTGTCAAGCGGGGGGTTGGGTGTCAGAATGTTATAATTGTCTAGTCTGCAGTGGGGTACTCTATAGTGAGTACAACCCAAATTAGGGTTTCCTATATGTACTGCCCTGCTTACTAGTGAAGCCCTCTTTCGTGTTCTAAACTTCTGCTTGTAATTCTGACATGCTATCAGAGCGACTACGCTCCTGGCCTGTGGGCCCACTTGCTTCCGCTGCTATCCTGTCTGTCGCGCGCCCCGTGGCGCGCGACGTTTTTTCTTCCCGCCACGCGCTCGGGGCGCATGGCGGTTTTCTGCCCGCCGCGCGCTCGGGGCGCGCGGCGGTTTTCTGCCCGCCGTGTGCCCCGAGGCGCGCGGCGGTTTACTGCCTCACGCGGCGCCCCGGGGGCCCGCGCGCTGCCCTGCCCGTCGCCCGTTGCGGCGCCCTGGGGGGCCGCGCGTTGCCCTACCGGTCGCCCGACGCGGAGCCCTGGGGGCCCGCGCGTCGTCCCCCCCTCCCGTCGCCCGTCGCGGCTCCCTGGGGGCCCGCGCGCCGCCCTGCCCGTCGCCCGTCGCGGCGCCCTGGGGGGCCGCGCGCCGCCCGTCGCGACGCCCTGGGGGCCAGCGCGTCGCCCCCCCCTCCCGTCGCCCGTCGCGGCGCCCTGGGGGGCCGCGCGTCGCCCCTCCCGTCGCCCGTCGCGGCGCCCTGGGGGGCCGCGCGTCACCCCTCCCGTCGCCCGTCGCGGCGCCCTGGGGGCCCGCGCGTCGCCCCCTCCCGTCGCTCGTCGAGGGGCCCTCGGGGCCCGCGCACCGCCCCGCTTCCGCTCACACGCCGCCCCAGCTGCTGCCCGAGTTTCTGCCCTGCGTTGGGGGTATGGGGGTGGCGGGTATGGGGGTGGCGGGTGTGTGAGCCGTCCCCTGCTCCTCCTCCTCCTCCGTCTCCCACTGCTGCAGCTGCCGCTGAGGGGGGTGGGTGTGTGGGAGCCGAGGGAGTGGCGTTAGGGGGTTGACGTGGGAGTGGAGCTAGGGGTGCAGCAAGGGGTGTGTGAAAGGGGGGTGGGACAGTTGGGGGAGGTTGAGCGGAGGCTGCCGTCTTGTCGTCCGCAGCACCTGTAGTCCGGGGCTCTGCCGCTGGTAGCCCAGAGAGCCTGCTGCGCCTGTCGCCCGTGGGTCCGTTGCTCCTGCCGCTCAGAGTTAGCCGCAGAGCCAGTTACCCCTGTAGTCCGGGGCCCTTGCTCCGGTAGCCACCGTGCGCGCCGCTCCTGTTGCCCGTGTGTCTGCAGCTTCAGCCGTCGCCTCCTATCTCCTCTCCTCTCACAGTCCAGCCTCCTCCTCCTCACTTGCCCTTTGTGAATGCCTCTAGCTTTGCTTGTACTAGTGAACCTGCTCTATGACTGCTTGCTGTGCTGATTACACCCCACTTTGACTATGGGGGTGTGTCAGAATGTTATAATTGTCTAGTCTGCAGTAGGGTACTCTATAGTGAGTACAACCCAAATTAGGGTTTCCTATATGTACTGCCCTGCTTACTAGTGAAGCCCTCTTTCGTGTTCTAAACTTCTGCTTGTAATTGTGACATTGGGGTTGTAATCGCGTAACCAGTTTTTCAAGTTCCTTAGGCTTTTGAAACCCCTCCCAGCAAAAGTATACTGTTGCTTTAAAGTGACATTTCGATAAGGCAAGGTCCAAAGAATTGTGTTAGGTCCAAACAACTATTGTTTGTAAAACGGGTTGTGAGATGTGCACAAATTTTGCACGATATAACAAATACCGTAAGAATGACTAAAGAAAGCGACCATACAATGAGGGCCTACGGCAAGAAGCTCCGAATTGAAGCTTTGCATGAAGGTAGCTTGCAGATTGACGGCCCTATATAAAATAATAGCGAGTATAATGCAAAAATGCCCTGCATACACGATTGTTCACGAGATTTCATGGAAGTGCCGGTTAAAACCTGGAGCAAATGAACGGATTGATATGTGTTTGTGGTGTCCGGACTGGTCAGCCTTGCGGGACACCTAGTCACACAGAGTCCCACTGCTTTGCCCGTCTGAGCGACGCTTGGCGTACAGAGTTTGGCGACGACGCTGAGCTCCCCTCCTGGCTGGAGCTGCTTAGGCAGAGGGTAGATATCTTTGCTCTTGACTATGATGCTATCTTCACTGCCATGTATGCATTGTCTACTAGTGCTGAGGGTGCCTGTCACCTGTGTGTGCCGCCTGACCCCGGTATCCAGTCTGCTGCTCTAGGTACTGGTGAGGCTGCCGCTCTAGGTGCTAGTGCGTCTGCTGCCCTAGGTCCTGGTGAGGCTGCTGCTCTAGGTGCTGGTGAGTCTGCTGCTCCAGGTGCTCGTGCGTCTGCGCCTGCTGGTACTGCGTCTACTGCGGCACTGCACACCTTCACACTGGACTCGGGTGCTTCCCGCTGCTTCTTTCGTGACCGCACTGTCCTTGAGCAGCTAGCTCGGCCTGTTGCTGTCTCCCTGGCTGACCCCTCCGGGGGCCCGGTCCTTGCGACCTCCTCCACTGTCCTCCCTTGTCCTGCGGTCCCGTCCGGCACCCTGTCTGGTCTTTACCTCCCCTCGTTCTCTACGAACTTGGTGGCGGGCTCTGCTCTCCAGGATGGGGGTGTTCACCAGTTCACCCCGGCCCATGAGCGTATGACCCACTACACGTGTGCTCGGACGGGTCGCCACCTGCCTACCTTCACTCGGCAGCCGGGGTCGGACCTGTACACACTGACCACTGAGTCCCCTCAGGTAGCTGCGTCTGCGTCTGCGTCAGGTCAGCTGTCGGCCCCCTGCTCGTGTCGCTCCCTGTCGCACCAGACCGTCCTCTGGCACCACCGCCTTGGTCACCCGTCAGTGCAGCGCCTTCGTGGCATGCACTCCCGGTACCTTGTCTCTGGTCTTCCCAGGGTTCTCCCTCCCCTCCCACCCTCGCCTGCTCCTCCCTGTCTTCCCTGTGTCGAGGGGCGGCAGCGCGCCGCTCCTCACTCCTCGTTTCCCCCGACGACTGCTCCCCTGCAGACCCTCCACATGGACGTGTGGGGCCCAGCCCGCGTCCGTGGACAGGGTCACGAGAGGTACTTCTTGATAGTTGTTGATGACTACTCGCGCTACACCACGGTCTTCCCCTTGCGCACCAAGGGTGAAGTCCCTGATGTTTTGATCCCTTGGATCCGCGCTGCCCGTCTCCAGCTCAGCGAGAGGTTCCACTCGGACTTTCCTGTTCTGCGTCTGCACTCTGACAGAGGTGGGGAGTTTTCCTCCGACCTCTTGAGGGAATTTTGTCGTGGGGAGGGCATTGAGCAGTCGTTCACGCTTCCGGCCTCTCCACAGCAGAATGGGGTTGCTGAGCGCCGCATTGGCTTGGTCATGGAGGTCGCTCGTACCTCCTTGATCCATGCGGCTGCCCCCCACTTTCTGTGGCCGTTTGCGGTCCGATACGCTGCGCATCAGCTCAACCTCTGGCCCCGTGTCTCCGTTCCGGAGACTTCGCCGACACTGCGTTGGACGGGAGAGGTTGGCGATGCGTCAGTGTTCCGGGTCTGGGGATCTCGTGCTTTTGTCCGTGATACGCCCGCGGACAAGCTCTCCTCCCGCGCTGTTCCTTGTGTCTTCCTTGGCTTTGTCCCGGACGCGTCTGGTTGGCAGTTTTACCACGCCACCTCGCGCCGTGTCCTGCCCTCTCAGGACGTCACTTTTGACGAGTCGGTCCCCTACTACCGCCTCTTCCCCTACCGCACTGCACCGCTCCCCCCCCCGCCTCTCTTCCTCGCACCAGGTGCTGCTGTGGTAGACCCCCTCCCCCCTCAGGGTGCCGCTCCCTCAGGTGTGTCCCAGGTAGACCCGGTTGAGCCTGTCGAGGTAGCTGTCGACTCTCGTCCTGCTAGGGGTGCTGAGCCTGAGCGTGCGGAGCCTGGGGGTGCGGAGCCTGGGGGTGCTGAGCCTGAGCGTGCGGAGCCTGGGGGTGCTGAGCCTGCGGGTACGGAGCCTGGGGGTGCGGAGCCTGGGGGTGCTGAGCCTGAGGTTGCTGCGTCTGGGGGTGCTGAGCCTGAGAGTGCTACGTCTGAGGGTACTGAGCCTGGGGGTGCTGCGACTGACCGTGCGGCGCCTGGAGGCGCTCCCTCTTCACAGCAGCTGCGTGAGTGGTACTCGCGGTACTGCAGCCTCAGGAGGGGCGCTTCTGGGGCTAGGGGTGCTGCTGGAGCTGGTGCTCGTGGTTCCCCGCCTAGGCGGGAGCCGCCCTCTCCTCAGCGGCTCCGAGAGTGGTACGCTCGGCGCTGCAGTCTCCGGAGTGGCGCTGCTGGTGCTTTGGACCCTGGAGCTGGAGCTGCTGCTGGTGCCACGGACCCTGGAGTTGGAGCTGCTACTGGTGCTGAGGACCCTGGAG